TAATGTAAAAAAAAAAAAAAAAAAAACTCAGTTTAAGAGCGCAAAACCCGGTTGGGAAGGTGCAATATTTACAAAAAGCAGTGCAAATGACAGCCCAAATAACAAAGAAAGTAATGGCATCGTTGAAAAAATTAACTAAAACCAAGGAAACGGAAGAAAAAGTGGCCAACGGCCGCACTGACATCCTGCATATCGATGAGGAAATAAAGTGACCGTTCTGGTTGCCTTTGAGGAGATGTCACACGTAAATCAAAATAAGCGGTGAGAACTAAATGGAGGTAACCAACTCAGAATGGAAAAGCCTGGAATAACTATGTTCGGATGCGTGGAACCCCACCCTCTCCCCCTCACCTCCTCCCCCCGCCCACCCGCTCCTGGGATTTTTATGAAATGGGATTCCCACAGCAACCGTCCAGACGGTTTATTATTCTCGACAGCAACAGAAATAAAGCAAAATTTTGTTAACAGCCGCACTTACAGTTAAAAAGAAATTAAGAGAGGTAGTGCAGGAAAAGCTTACTTTGTCTGGGTGATTGGATCACGGCTTATTTGTAGCTGTATTTGTGCACCTTGCGCAGAAAGATTTGATAACAACTGGTTTAGAAAAAGCAATACAATATTGTCGTCATCGGCGCCTCCAGGAGATGAGGCATGCATAATTCGAAACGATGAAGCCGGTTCATGGCGATGCTCATTCGGATTCGGTAAATTTCCACCAGCAGCAGCGGAAGAAGCCGCATCTGTATGCCCGTGACCATCGTCCGTCACCATTTGACCAAATATCTGAAACAGTCACTTCTCCGCGCTCGATTTATAATTTTATTGTTGTCAACTTGCCCAAGTACTCCGTTTTTTTTTTTCAAGGCAGGTAGTGGCCGAAACAGAAAAAATTTTTCAACAGGCCAAAACAGAAAAAACTTTTGACAGCAAAAAGCTGCTGACAAAGACGCTAATGATTCGGCACGTAACAACTGTGTAAGCAAATTAAATGCGATTTAGTCCCCCCGTAAATCAAATGCAATTTAGTCCCTAAGAAAATGTTAGTGCCAATTTGCAATAAAACAAAATAACGTATCGTACACAAACTGACCCCCATCATCGGATTCAGTTCAGCTACTCCGGTCAGCACCAACTGCAATCATAATAAAACAAAATTTCTAACCAACAAAAACAAGATTTGAGCTTCCCGCCCATAGTCGCATCCTGCGCGAAGAGACTGGGGGAGGGGGGAAAGGGGATGGCGATTTTTCATTTCCCCTTCTCCCTTCTTCACTACACCCTCTCCTCGGCCAACTTTCAATCCACCCTTCAACCGCCGTGCTATCTTTCTCCCTACCTGGCCGTCCCATTACCCCCCTCCCCTCGAAGGTCTCGCTGTACTTTCTCCTCCCCCCATTCCCCCTCCCCTCCTCCTCCCCTGCTCTCGACAGTGGGCACTAAACTGAGATTGGCACGACTCCAGAGGGCGGGGGGGAGGGGAGGAGGGGGACAGGGGATGCCGAACAGACTTTTGTACAGTAAAACAATTACCTAAGCCGAAAAGCTTCTCCCTCCGCCCCTTCTCTTCCCCTCCCCGCCCTCCTGGACTCGCCAATGTCCCCACCAGTCGAGTATTATAAAATTACTATCAGATGAATGGAGTAACATCTCAAACACACACACACACATACATGTAACTGTGATCAGAATAAGTAAT